AACACATGTTTGCGTAATAACAATTTAAATCCAAAATATAAACAGACTACTTAAAATTGGAAAAATTCTAAGACTAAAAAGGAAAAGTAATAAATATTCCCATACTTAGGGAAAGGCATTTGTAACTTAAATATGCAATTGTTACCAAAATGATAGAAATGATAAGACTTAGATCCTCAATTAAACGTCAAGACAACAACCCCTACTTTCCATTTGGGAATTATATTTCATAACCACAGACTTATCTTTTCTTTCCATATCTTAAACCTAAAACCGTCCGTAGATTGTTTAAATTGCCAATGATTTAATCTTGCCAAAAAAATTAAAACATAATTTATATGGATTAATATTCTATACACGGACAGTGTAGACACTTTCACTATTAGATGTATGATACATAATTCAAATTTGAATTTGAAACATAAATTTTGTATAAATGTCGTGTATCCAACAGTAATAGTGTATACAATGTTAGTGTATATAAGATTTACTCAATTTTTATATGCTAAAACTTTAGGTTGTTTAAATTGCCAATGATTTAATCTTGCTAAAAAAATTAAAACATAATTTATATGGATTAATATTCTATACACGGGTAGACACTTTCACTATTAGATGTATGATACATAATCCAAATTTGAATTTGGAACATAAATTTTGTATAAATGTCGTGTATCCAACAGTGATAGTGTATACAATGTTAGTGTATATAAGATTTACTCAATTTTTATATGCTAAAACTTTAGGTGCCAATTGAGAAGTGCAAACTTTGCTACATCTGTTTGCTCTTTCATTTATTAGGTAGTTCTATTTCACCTTTCTTAAAGCATATTTGTTGAATAAGAAGTGACTCCAATAACAACAGAATTAACTAATATTGAAACCCAGATGAAGTGGGGAAAAACAAAAGATTTAGGTCAAGAGTTAAAAGTTTCACATTCTCAATTTTATAAGGTGGCAATTAAATGGAAACAATTACATTCAAGTTCATGTGTTATGGCTATTGAATGCTATTTTTTTCCTCTTTTTTTTCAAAAAAAAAAATCTTTCTGTTAGTTTTTTTTCCCCTTCTGTAGTGTAAAGAGACATCTACCCTATTACCCACTATGTTGTGGCCCTATTGTAAATAAGAAATTAGACAATGTGATTTCTAGCCCTTGTTTCGTTTGCTATTGAAATGTACTAAACTAAGCAGCGCAGGATCTTAGTCTGCTCGGATTTGCTTGTATGAGCTGTTAAGCCACTCGTAGAAGCGAGTATCAAGAAGATCTAGAGATTATTTGAAACAATTATTATAACACTTTTTACGATATAATGTATGTAAAATAAATAAAAAATTGAAAAGATAAAAAAGTATGTTAAAAAATATAATGTGATGCAAGAAAATAACGACAAATAATTCCTATCCAAAAAAAATGTCTTCCTTTGCATTCACTTGAAGTACCTAAACTACATTATCATTGACAACCAGTGGCATGAGAACATTTATCATCATATTTGGAATTGAACAATATCAAACATAATTGAAAAGAGGTGCAAAAGCATTAATTACTCTTTATCCATCTCTACATCCGCACATCATTATAACTAAACTAGTTTTCACTTATTACCAGCTATGTTTTTAGAACCCCGGATTCGATCGGGGTTGAATCGGATGATGTCATAAATAAAAATTATTTAAAAATTAAAATATTATATGTAAAATACCTAATAACATGTTAATATTAATAAAGATATATTCATATATATTTGATGCTTCAAATATATTTAAAAAGAAAATACAAAGAAATTAGAACAATCAAGTAGCAATTTATATTATTCAATGAGCATTAACAAATTTAGAATTAAAATTATGGATTTAATTGAAAAATAACACCAAACTTTAAGACAACATTTATAAAGTATGAAATATTTGAGATATATTAATAATTTTTAACAACCTAGGGGTCAAAACATAATATTAAAAATATTTTGACCTTTCAAAAAAAAGTTAAAAAAAAAAAGAGACCCGATTCTTATTTTTCCGGTCAAACCCGGTCAAATCCGATTTTTGATCAGATTTGACCGAATTTTTAATTTTCCAGTTTTTAGGGCTAACACGGACCGGATAATTGGCCGGCTCTCGATTCGACTGGGCGGATTGGCTGATCCGATCTGAGTTTAAAAACAGAGATTACCAGCTGTTTGCATATCTCAAATCATATGGTGAAGGGTTAGCCGCATTGGCAGCAAAATAGAAACCATCTTCTTTAACCAGCCAATAGCATATACTATCACCGCCATCACATTGTTCCCTTACAGTTTTATTGAAAACATCAAATCTTGTGTCCTTCATTCTCCAGTAAAAGTGACAGAAAAATAGTGTCGACCAAATGAAATTCTCATGAAACGTCCACTGAAACTCGTTACTCATATAGAGGGTGTGATACCCTAAATCATCATCTCCAGATTGACAACGAAGAACTAAAGGGTTGGAATTATCAGGAAGGCCATTGACTACATGAAGATGATATTTACCCGTAAAAACATCCCAAAATGAAAATGATGCTGCGAGGACAAAGCAAAATAGTGCAACAAGCAAGCTGAAAAGGCTTTTCGCTGTTGTAATGACTCATATTGGTCATGATATGCTGTGGTGAATTAGAAGTTACCACGTTTATATAGAACAGGGAATTATATACAAGAGAAGAAGTGAGAATTTGGTATGTAGGAAAAGACAACAAATAATTGTGCCTTGAGCCAGCATTTCTTTTTCCCGTGTTTAAATGGCAAGTTATTATTAATGAAATAATTAGTTACCATGTCAGGAGTACTGAAGCATCATGTCTTTTTTCTCAAAATTTTTGTAATTAATGCAGTGAAGATGTTATTCAGATGTAAGCTTTGAAATACGAAATCGTCATTTTTGGAAATAAAATAAAATCAGAGATGTAGGCTGCTCTAGTGTGTGTGTGTGTGCCATCCATATATACATACATATATATATAGTGTGTGTGTGTGTCATATATATGTGTGTATATATATATATATATATATAGGCTGCTTTAGTGTGTGTGTATATATATTTCACAATGTAAAGCATGATACAATTTATAATTCAATTGCTAAATACATGGTGTACACCTTAACTACTCACTTCTCTAAAATAGGCACTCGTCAATGAACTTTTTACGTTTTAACTTTTTTGTTTGGACATTTCTTTAAAACAATCTTTTTGTGGAACTGAAATAAGCTGTTGAACTAAGCCAAAATGCACTTTGGTCGTCTTATCATTGCGTCATATAGACCGGGAAAAAATATGGCAAAAACAAAATTCAATAAAAAGCACATTGAAGAAACTTTAGCCAATTGAAAAAAAATAAATCAAACCTAATTTGAGCTTATGAACAAATTTTAGGGATACGACCTCCCGCATCAAGAAGTTCCTAATTCCTATGCGTCTTTCCTTCTATTATTGGATCGTAATTCATCCCAATAAAAAAGATTTCTCGTCATACTTTAAAAGAAAAATAAAGCAACAATAGTTTTACTCTTTGGTTGACAGTAAGTAACCAAATTTATAAGTTTACGAGTAGAAAGGGGCAAATTGCCCAAATAGTCCTCTAATTCAGCATGACAAAAATATTTAGTTCTTGTTTACAAATCTTGCATTGGGTTCTTTTGGAATAACTTTCAAAATATTGGGACTAATTTGTAGACTGCACTAATATCCAATCAATTTGTGTCCTAACATTTAAATAGGACTAAATGCCCTAATATTCGATATTCCCCTAGAGATTTTTCTCCGCTGAATGCAGAACAGCAGAAGTATCCTGCGTTGCCTCGTGGAAAGTGGCGTATTTGGTCTCCTCGGCTGCTGGCCACAATTTCTGGGAAGGAAGATTGGCCCGCCCCAATGCCAACCATCATCAGTCGCCTTTGGCAACGTCAAAGTTCAAAGTCCACAACCCCGCAATTTCCTCGAATTTAGATCAACACACTTGAACTTTTGTGCTATTTGTTTAATCACCAACTGGAGGATTTGAATGTGGCATTTGAATCCCTCAAAAAAAAAATGAAGATAAAATTGTAATGCTTAAAATGTAACCCTTTTGCACAATAATTCACTTAAATTCATATTCTAGTTGAGGCCTTGACATTTCTCTACCATTGTCTCTCTTCAATTTTGCTCCATCTTTTAGTGTTTGACGAGACTATTCAAACTTGATTTTATGCAACTCTCGAGTGAGTTTTTTTTTATTGATGACCTTAGTAATGTAAACAAAGAGTAGAAAGTGATCATTCATCAAAAAGTCTTTTTTTATATATAACCTATGTGAACTATACACAAAACTAATCACGTGACTATAAAATCACTATTTAGGTCATATGACATCTCAGGAGAAGATCTAAATTTGTTTTTGTCCTTTAAACTTTCCTCCAATATGCCAAATAATGTAAATAATAGCACCAACAATTCTAGCAATTCTAATGAAAGAATGCTTGAAGATAATCTCCTTTCCAACCTTTCACATTTGATATGCAGATTTTTTAAGCTACTAAACCAATAAAGTTATATATAAATATCAGAGTCTCTTACCAAAAAAAGTTATATTGGACGCCCAGAAATAAAGATTTTCAACATAAAATCTTTTTCCTATTCTTAAATGGATTTTTTCTTTCTCTAATAATCGACAAAATAAACCATTAATGTTTTCAAGATACCATTTCTTCTAAATTTTAATATGAAAGAAAACATTTTTGTACAACTATTTTTTACTTTAGCCCCAAGCAAATTGATCATAGTTAATGTCTAAGATTCTTCCAAAAGCAAAAGAAATATGATAAATTAACATGCCAAAATTAAGTCAAGCACAAAGGGTGAAAATGTTTGATTCCTAAAGGTGTTGTGGCTAGTAACAATTACTTGAATTTGTCAACCATCCATTTTTTTTTAACCATAACAAGAGAAAAAAGAAAAAGGGAAAATTACGTAAAAATTGTAGGCGTGGAAAATGACACCTATATAAAAACCAAAACCCTGAGTCCTCGCTTCTCGCTCCGCCTTTCACCTCCCCTTTTCGGCTCCTTCACCTGAGAACCAGCCAGGAAAACGCAAAGGTAAAGGAGCGCAGCCCAGCCCGGCCCGCTTGTTAGAGACTCTCACAAAGTCAACATCTCAGCTTATTACTACGATCAGGTAGATCAATCGATCAAACACTTGCATTATTGCATTATACAAACGAATCCCACTCTACTAGGTGCGGATAAATTCATGGATCTACTGTTCTTTTCTTCATTTTATTGATTTGGAATAGATTAAATGCCTATATTTCTTCATGGATGTTCTCATTTCTTCATGAAATTGTCCCTGATATTCAGTTACCTTGATGTTTGTCTGTAGAATTTTTAATTTTTTTCTGGGTTATTGATTTAGAAGATTTGGTGTTCTGGGTTGTTTCATTTGCGGATTTTAAGTTTAGATCTGTTAATCTTTTTTGGGACACACTTGCATTATTGCATTATACAAACGAATCCCACTCTACTAGGTGCGGATAAATTCATGGATCTACCGTTCTTTTCTTCATTTTATTGATTTGGAATAGATTAAATGCCCATATTTCTTCATGGATGTTCTCATTTCTTCATGAAATTGTCCCTGATATTCAGTTATCTTGATGTCTGTCTGTAGAATTTTTAATTTTTTTCTGGGTTTTTTATTTAGAAGATTTGGTGTTCTGGGTTGTTTCATTTGCGGATTTTAAGTTTAGATCTGTTAATCTTTTTTGGGACTCTTTTTTCGTGTTGCGTAAAGGGTTCCAATTTCTTGGGACTGCTCTGTTTTTTCTGTTGCATATTATTATGGAATTTATATATGAAGCGTTTGGAGTTTGACTAGTAGATTCCGAAGGGTATGAGTCTCTTGATGTCAGTTTGCAGTTTTTGCTGCGATTTAGTCTTTTTGGGATGGTTGATTTACTAACAAATATGTTTGCGTATAAGTTGTGAGAGTTTTGAGATGAGGCTGTGTTTGGATTTTGTTTCAATATGAATTTGAGTGTCGGAGAATTGATTCATTTGCTTGAGAGATGTCATGTTTTTTTTATTGTCAGTGGAGTCTGCTTGCCTCTGCTAAACAATTTCATTTACAAATGGGTTTTTTTTGGTTGTTCTAGGAAGTGAAGAACAGAAATGGTTTCGTTTTGAAAGTGAATATATGTGTTAGCGGCTTCCAAGTACAGTTTTGATTTACGATGATGCTGCTGTTTAGCAGTGGGTGCTTGTGAGAGTTGATAATAAATATTGCTTTTGTCTAGATACAGTGATGGATTTTGATTAGGATGATGATTTTTATTCTTAGAGAAAAGATCTGTAAGAGCTGCCCTGCTAGATATCTGATTGCTATTTTGCAACCTTGGTGGCAGTTGAGGATAGTGCAATAGTGGCAATTACATCTTAACTCAGTCTTTTTGTCTATGTTACTCTCATATTTATATGGTTATCAGCTTGTCTTCTTTAAAGTTCTCTGCTTTTTCTGGTTGGAAATTGGACTCTTGATCTTCATTGCCATGGTTGTGCCTTGCTTTTAATCTGCCTTTACATAATCATTTTGTCAATCTTACAGATTAAGGTTTTGTCAATCATTTTGATAATCTGTCGATGTGTGCCCTCAAGTTTGACATTAAAGTTCTATATGTAACATCTGGGTTAGTTCCCTATCGTGTTGTCAGTCAGTTTGTGTCACATTATTTCCTTTTCTTGGATCATGTATGTATATACTTATATTCTATTCCTTATTTTCCCCATATAGCCTAGCTTACACACGGTGATAGTTGTTTTTTTCTTTCGTAGCAGGAAAAATGATGATTGATCAGACACAATATCCCACTGTCGCTCAGAAGATGGCTGCCAAGCTCCATGCACCGACCACTGTTAAAGATCTTCAAGCCTGTGAGGGTGGTTTCCAGAAGCCTTATCTGCATCAAAGAAAATTTGCTTATGGAAACTTTGCAAATCCTGCATTCAAATATCAGATGCTACAGTCATGTCAAGCAACACAAAACCTGTCTATGATAGCATCATATGCATCTCCAGTTTCTGTCCAAGCCCCCTCAGAAAAGGGATTTGCCAGCTTTGCGATTGATTTTCTCATGGGAGGGGTCTCTGCTGCTGTATCAAAAACAGCTGCTGCTCCAATTGAGCGTGTGAAGCTATTAATTCAAAATCAGGATGAAATGATAAAGGCTGGTCGGCTTTCAGAACCATACAAGGGGATTGGTGAGTGTTTCACACGAACAATCCGGGAAGAAGGTGTCGTCTCTCTCTGGAGAGGCAACACTGCTAATGTTATTCGTTACTTCCCTACTCAGGTTGGTCAACTCTCGTGTTGTTAATCCTTAATTATGCACTACTTCTCTTCTCAATTTGCCTGAATATTTTATGGATTCTGCACAGGCTTTGAATTTTGCATTCAAAGATTACTTCAAGAGTTTGTTTAACTATAAGAAAGACAGAGATGGTTACTGGAAATGGTTTGCTGGAAACGTGGCATCAGGTGGTGCAGCTGGTGCTTCTTCCCTCATCTTTGTCTTTTCCCTGGACTATGCCCGAACTCGATTGGCAAATGATGCCAAGGCTGCAAAGAAGGGAGGAGAGAGGCAGTTCAATGGCTTGATTGATGTCTACCGTAAGACCCTTGCTACTGATGGCATTGCTGGACTTTATCGGGGATTCAATCTTTCTTGTGTTGGAATCATTGTTTATCGTGGTCTCTATTTTGGACTATATGATTCTGTGAAGCCAGTGGTCCTCACTGGCAAGTTGCAGGTAAATAATCGATGAGACCAGCACTTGTCATCATCATTTGTCATGAAGTATTGATTGACTGATTGTGATTCTCATTTTCATGAATTTTTTTTAATTATTTTTGTGTTATAGTGTTTCTCTTCTATTTGCTTAGAGCTGGTAGCTAAATACAGAGGACATGCAAGAAGCAAATATTGATGCATGTGATCCTTATTGTGCTCTAGAATTCCTTTACTACTACAAGTCTATAATTTTTGTATCTAGCTTCATTGTACCTTCTCTTTTGCTGTTTCTGGTTTTCAGGATAGTTTCTTTGCTAGCTTTGCCCTTGGTTGGGTGATTACGAATGGTGCTGGCCTTGCGTCTTATCCAATTGATACTGTCCGAAGAAGAATGATGATGACATCTGGTGAGGCAGTGAAGTACAAAAGCTCCCTAGATGCATTTACTCAGATCGTGAAGAATGAGGGTGTAAAGTCTCTCTTCAAGGGAGGTGCTGCAAACATCTTACGTGCTGTTGCTGGTGCTGGTGTGCTTGCTGGCTACGACAAACTGCAAGTGCTTGTCTTGGGAAAGAAGTATGGATCTGGCGGTGGTGCTTAAGAGTTGGTTTTTTGTCCTCAAGATTTTGAAGATTAGGCAGTGAAAAAATCTCCCATGTCTGGGACCTTAACCAGGCTTTCTGATTCAATAATTTGACCCCTTTACAGGTGTCACCCTGAACCTTTTTTTATTAGACCGTTCATCGCTTTCTACATCTTATATTGTTGCAGCCGCGGATGCAGTTGCTAGTTTTTGAGTTTCAATTACTCAAGAGAGGCTTGTATGTCATGTACAATGCCCGAATTGCTTTCCATAGTGAGAGATACAACTGTGCAACTTTTTGGCCTTATCATCCTGGCAAGTGCATACCTGAAATTATATGCATCAGTGTCTAAACTGCTGGGTCCTTTATATTTCGTACTATTCTCTGTTTCTTTATGTTATACTTGGGTCTAAATCACTTCAAAATTTTATTCCTTGTATGCCAAATGTCTATGCTGATTTTCATATATAGCAAGCCTCAAGGTGCCTGCGTATGTCTTTGAGTGTTTTGTACTTTCAGCTGCTGCAAGGCCAATCTGTTAAGCTGTCCTCAATCTTGGATGTCCGTTTTATAATATATGTTTCATTTCTACCTATCCATTCTTGGATACAGAGATGTAATGTGTTTAGTTAAACATTTTAAGATCTAGAGATCAAACAGGAAGTTCTCGATCTCCGACTTTAACCGACTCAAAACTGAAGTAAGCTATGAACAAGAACGAGCTCGCCTGCTTGAAGAGTAGCTCAATGTCCAGCCTTAGATAAATGAGTACATAATGGTCTCTCACCTTGGGTGATCGTGTAACAATCCAGTGCAACAATGGTAGATGCTGTTTACTGGCAAGTGGCAACTATAAGAGTACCTGAAACCTAATAAGCTGTATGAGCCAACGATGAGATTCTGAAATCTAAGTACTTGCTTTCCAGTAGGAGTTGAGTTTCACACCCAAATCGAAATCTTCAAGTAGGGGTGTTTTTGAATTGAGTCAAGCCTTGGCACTGGTGTAACCAAGTTCAAGTTCAAAGGTAATTAATCACCTAACTTATCATTAATTTGAGTCAAGTTTGACGAATATCACCCAAAAAAAAAAAATTAATACTAGTGGTTCAAGCTCAAGATTAACCTGCTTGACAAGATTAACTCTGAGCCCAAACTCTAGGGCAATCAAGCTTGATAGTGTGGTAAAGATTGTAATTTGTCCAAAACAAACATTCTATAATTTCAATAGTTTCATAACTATATATAAATAACAATATATTACAAAAATTATAAATTTATGAATAGTTGATAAGCTTGAGAAGCTCTCAATATTATGTATGGACATGGAAATTGATCCGTGTGACAATTTGAACCATTGGGTTTGAGTTTTATCGAACTCAGGTAAACCGTTGAACGAACTGCTCGCAAATAACAACTCGATCTATCGGTAGCTCCCAGTCCAAACTCACGCTGTGAAACGTATTAGTATAAGGTAGAGTTTCCTCTAGATTCAACAATGCATTCTACCCACAAGTCTTTCTATGGACGCTTCTTCACCTTGTGCGGAGGATCGTGAAAGATGTTAATATCTCTCAAGGGTTACTTAGCCCTTTTTCTGGAAATAGAAGTATGCCAAACGCTCACGCTAGCCTAAAGGTCAAATTGCATGATCCTTACCCGCTCAATAAAGTGATAAACAAATAGCCATTACGATGGCAATCATTAAATGGGCTTTCCAAGGAGGCAAAAGCCCATTATTTGCTTTGCAGTTTTGGGCCTCGTTTAGTGAACTGATTGGTCCGCAGTGTAGACCATTTGAAATACAAACATGAGAGAATAATCCTAACAAAATGTAAGACTATTCTAGTTTTTTCTTCTTTTTTGTCTTGATAAATTAGTTTTTAATTTTTGAAATTCTTTCCTTTTTTTTTTTCAGATAACTTTTATACGCAAAAGTAATTGATCACCAACCTTGAACGCATGCATGAAACAACTCAACATAGCAATAAAACTTTAGATCATTCAAGTTAAACTAACATCTTCTACTTTTGCTGATGCTGATATTGTTGTAAATTGTCTTAAAACCAAAGGGATATTACTCCAGCCATATCTATTCCTTCAATGATAGTAACAAATACTTATAAATACAGTTATAGTTCCCTTTCTAAATGTACAAACTCACAAGCTCGTTATTGTAATTAAGTCCCACCCTCTCATTTCTTGAACCTCAATTGTTGTAATTGTTGGTGTCAAAATTGTTAGCTCAATTGAGTTCAACTCGAATTCAAGTAAACTCAAATAATAGTCCGACCGATCCCGAGCTCAATTTTTAAGGAAAGCAAATACTTTAGCTCAAATCAAGCACAAGGAAAGCGCTATACGAATTCAACCCACTCGCTGTGAGTTTGAAATGCAAAATTTCCTATGATCCTATCTTCTTAAAATTCTTGTACAAAAATAAAAAAAAAAAGTGGTTGAAGCAAATTAATAACTCGTATATACTAGTCAAATCACATGCAAATAATAGTTAGTGGATTTTGGGACTGAGAATGATGAAGGTTTATTTTTCATCAATCGGTACACTAATCCTACTCTCACTCGTGCTTCAATTTATCTAAGGGAGGATCTAACTGGATCAAGGAGAACTAGAGGGATTGACTCTCATCTCAAGATTAAAAGGGTGTAATACTGCATATGCTTTGGATTTAGTAGATGTCACGTAATAATAACAATTGATGAAAGACAAAGTTTGAACCTTTAGCATTCCAACTTATAAAGGCACTTAGAGACAATTGATGAGGTTGTTTTTGTTATTTGACCACTTTTGATGGTCTCATACAGCGGAATGCTTCTTTACGATCTGGACCCGGGTATGACTAAACAATGGAAAAAGAGAAAGAAAGAGAAATGGAGAGAATGAGAGATCAATTCCTTGCTTGCAAAATTTGTCTTGAGCGGTCCCATGATGAATCTCATCACACTATCTTGTGCAGTTTTTTCAGTTGTGGATGGCAGAAACTAGGAGGAGAGCCTTTGCTTTAATGGCTGTCTTAATAGCTTTCTATATTCACTGAACAAAGATCTTTGCCATTTTCCGTATCTAGTATGTGACTTTGTGGCCTCCATCAATTTTCAATTGCTTCTTTAAAGATCTTATCCATTTAAGTATGCTGTGCATTTTGTCTCCTTTTGTCCGTTTGAATTACGGACTTGATCACCTCTACAATGACCTGTGCCAATTTCTATCTTGTACACCTCAACAATTGCTTGGAAAGCCATTTTCTACCAAAAAAAAAAAAAAAATTTACGTTTTTCATAAATACATTTTTCAATCACCTTTTTATCTCATGTATATCAAATCGGTATAGTACATTTTTTCACAAAAACTCCAAAAAATTACAATCCAAACAAGAATTATCTTCCTCCACTTCCAGTTGTGTACACGAGAGAATTTGACTCTACAATTTTCTTTTCAAATTGAAAATTTAGCCTATTCTTAACTATTATTTGTCAGGTGATTGATTCCAACCCTAGTCCAATTTTTCTTTTGTCCAAGTGTTTCTTATAGCTCTCGTAAAGCTAATCACCCTAACAACAAAAAAGAAAAAAAAATCACAAATTGTAATTTCAGATAATTATTTAATCAGGAATTTGGAAGTACTCAACCACTAAGTTAACTATTTGTGAGAGGGCATGATGTCTACAACATTAACCTTTCTTTCTTTCTTTTCTTTCAAATTGACATATGTATCATTTATAGTGTGTTTTAGTTGTTATAACCAAATTCCTCGGGCTTTTAAAGCTAAAATTATAGAGAAAATACATAAGAAGAAATAGTTTTTTGTGTGGAAATAGATATCATTGAACTTTTCCACATTGTGGAAATTCATGTATCTTTCTTAGATCATTTAGAACAAAGCATTCATGGTTGGAGAGAACATGTCCCTGAAATAAATTCTAGGCAGTGCTCTTGTGTGGTTTTTATCTATCTTTAACCCAATAAAAACAGAGAATTATTTAAGCCACTTTTGATAAAGGGTCTTCCACAAAAGTTTTTCACCATAGAAGTGGGGTTGCTCTCGGAATCTGGTCCGGGCTATGTGGTCCTTGTGCAACAGTACAAGGAAAGGCATAAAATCACATCTTGCCCGTTTTCAATCCAACCCTTTTGCATCTTCATTTTGTCTTCCCTTCTTCCATAATTTGAAGGGCTACTAATTCTCAATCTTATTTCCAACGAATTCATTTACCTCTTTCTTTTTTGTTATTGAAGAACAGGTATTAGTTGAACCAGAAATTGGCAGGATGAATAAAGAAAATCTTGCATTTCTATTGAAGCTAAAAATGAAATTGAATAACCAATGCCATCTCCGTAGTACCTTGAAAATTCCTTAGGTTCGTACTTACCAATCAAAAAGCTATACAGTATTGTAGAAAATGCAGTATTGTAGCAATATCTAGCCTTTTATATAGCTGCAAATTTGCACTGAATTGTCTAGTCTTTGCATAGCAATGTGTCTGTTTGGATTGTGAATTATTAGAGATATTTTTACTGTAGCACTTTTTGTGATGTGATGTATGTGAGATAAAAAAGTAATTGGAAAGGTAAAAAGGTGTATTGGAAATTGTAATGATGATGTAAGCAAATAAATTTGGGAAAATAAAGCCCAATCCAAACAAACTTCGTACTGAATTATCAACTACAAAGGAAGGATGACTTTTTCCATAATTAATCATTATCTTTTGTAAGCTTCCATTAGTGACAAATTTCGTAGGCCTTCAGAAAATGTTTGTTTCCAGTCAATTTCACTGCACGAAAAGGAGAGCTAGGGTTATTTCTCACTTGTTTGGTGGCAAAAACTTGAATGGTTATCCATCTTGAAAAGACAATAGAGGGTTCTTTTTCCTGTGGAAGACAAAAGTCTGGTGGATTGTGGGACTGATATGGTATATCCTTCCAATTTCCTCCAAGCTATATCAAGAGTATCGAAGTTTGCTCAGATGATTACTTTGGGCTATTTTCACAAGAATTCTGTTGTTTCACATTTTCTTTAAATGTGTATTTGAAATAAAAATAGTTCAAGAAAGTATCAGGAGTTCGAAAGCTTGTAATTTATTCTCTAACACATTATTACACAACCATTTCAATTTTAAGTTGATGAATTAAACGACATATGTTAAAGATAAAATTCAAGATCAAGGTATTTTAATTCAATGAAATGATCATGGAAGATCAAATAAAATAGGGGAAAATGCCCCAGTGGCTGTCAAATTATTTCGAAGTTTAACTTTTGGCCATCCAATCATTAAATGGGTACTTTTAGCTCTCTAACGCAATGTTTTAAAACTCGGACCGTCAATTGAACCGGTGAAGTGAATGGGTCGAGGTTCAACCGGTCGG